CGCTATGGCACACGCAGGTGTGCTTAAGCACATGCATGCACACACACACACACACACATACACACAGACACACACACAAACAAATATCATGCTTTGGCGAGGAAGAGAAAATAAAGGGGAGCAGAGATATACAATTCTATTTTCCTAAGTAGAAAATACATTATTTAGAACCTAACATACATGTTAAATAAACATCCACAAACCTGAAGTATACTGGAATGATGGCCTTCAGGGAAGAAAGGGAGTAAGATGGGAGAGGGCGCGTGTGTGGTGGCAAGATGGGAGAAGCCAGGCGTGGTGTGCGTGATAGCAATTGTAGCACTTGGGAGGCGGAGGCAGGAAGACTAAGGTCACTTTAGGGATATAGTGAGTTTGAGTTTGAGGCCAGCCTGGACTACAGCAGACTCTGTCCAAAACAAAACAAAATTAGAGGAAATGATGAGTAAAAGAGTAATAATAAACGAATAATAAAACAAGAGGTGACTTTCAGGTAAGACATACAATCAAGTTGATTTCCTATATTGAAGTAAAAGTTAGTAAACGGCTAGATAAATAAATGGCCAGTCTTTCTGGAAAGCAAAACCATTAAAAAAATATGTTGAGGCAAGGCAGGTATGATAGTGCCCATCAGTGAGCCTATCATTTGGGAAGTGGAGGCAGGGGTTCAGAGATTTCACTGCCAGTGTGGACTGCATGAGGCCTTGTCACAAACAAAAACAAAATCAGAGAACTGAGGTAGCAATGCTGCTCATGATGAGGGAATCTAGTCTAAAGAAATCGGGCTATGGCTCAGTGATAGAACAGTTGTCCAGCGCATAAGAAGCCGGGACTTAAATCTCCAGTTACATTAAAAAATAGAATAAAACAAGAGATTCACACACATCAGTTTCACAACAGTGGGAAAAACGGTCACCATTCTCAAGTAAATCAGAGAAACCTTTGTGGGTTCCACATGTGTTTGTGGTGTGCTGGTGAGCAAGTGTTGTCGTGTGGTATTGATGGTCAAACTCGGCATCTCTGCGCCAGATGTGGTGGCACACCATGTCTGTAATTCTCAAACTTAGAGGTAGAGAGAGAAGAAGGATCAAGAGTTCGAGGCCAGCCTGGTATATGAGACCCTTGCTAACAACCAACTAGCAAAAAACTTAAGCCTCTAAAGTAAAAACAAAACAAAATAAAAAAAACAAACCCACAAACCTCTTTTTCTACTCCAGCCTCTTCATTCTTTATTAGGCTTTGCTGTTTCTTTTTCTTTCTTTTTTTAAAAATTGTTTATTATGTATAGAGTGTTCTGGGCACCAGATCTCATTATAGATGGGTATGAGCCATCATGTGGTCACTGGGAATTGAACTCAGGACCTCCGGAACAGCAGTCAGTGCTCTTAACCTCTGAGCCATCTCTCCAGCCCCAGGCTTTGCTGTTTCTATGGTGTTGCCAGGTTGCCATGATAATTTCCATGGCACTCAGTTTACCCTGGGTTCTTCTTCAGTTAGTAAAAAACAAAAGCACTCTTCTGCAATACTTGTATGACTATTCTGCTCTCTTTTTCTTAACTTTACATACAACAACAGGTCTGTTATTGTTTCATAGTTTTTTATGACATAGCTCCTTCAGGGTTTGGGGTAAGCATCTAGTGGTGCCTTCTCTCGACATAGTGTACTCTCCCTCTGGAACTGTAAGCCAAAATAAACTCTCTGATGAGTCACTTTGGTAATGGGCTAACACAGTAGCAGAAAAGTAACTAATCCATTCTGTCTCAAAAGAGAAAAAATCAAATAGACATTCTATATTTCCAGTTGATGCAATTCTATTCACTGGAACACATCCAAAATAATTGAAAAGAGGGGATCAAAACAATAAAAAATCCACCATTTGCAGTAGTGTTATTCACAGTACTCAAAAGTTGGAAGCAGCGAAGTGGCCACAGACAGATGACTGGACGACCGGATGCCCAAATGCGGTGAGTACACGTGCAAGAATTACTCAGCTTTAAAGAGGAAGGGGACTCTTGGATGAGTCTCGAAAACATGCAATTAAATAAAATTATTCCGACTGACAAAAAACAAAGACAAATACTTGGGATTTATCTTGCAGAAGGCTGCTAGCGTACCTAAATTCACAGAGACAAAAGGGACTGCCCAGCAAATGCTAGAGCCTAGGCTGTATTTCTAAGACCACATTGAAAGAAAAGGAAAGCATTCTGCTCTGCCAGAGACAGATAAACCACGGCTGGAAGAAGTTGTCAACTGGCTCTTTTTTATTTTATTTTATTTTATTTTATTTTATTTCATGAGCATTGGTGTTTTGCCTGCATGTGTGTCCGTGTGACTGTGTCAGACCTTGGAGTTACAGGCAGTTGTGAGCTGTTTATAGGTGCTGGGAATTGAATCCAGGTTCTCTGGAAGAGCACACAGGGCTCTCAACCTCTGAGCCTTCTCTCCAGCCTGTCAATTGGGTTCTTATTTAGTGAGCAGACAGTTTTTATTTGAGATGAGGGAAATGGGGATGGAGCATGGCAAAGGTTAAATGTCATTGCCCAGCTAGAGCCACCAGAAATTACAACTGCATTCTTGACAAGGGTTAACATGATAAATTTTATGCTATGTGTATTCTACCACAATGAAAAAAGAAAGAACAAAATGTGAAATGGGCAATTCTGTTATTTTCCCTCCTAATCAGTTGACTCTTCTTCCTCTCTGTGGGTCCTCAGACAGAACCTTGGTTGTCAGATCTGGCCACAGGCATCTTTACCGGCTGAACCATCTCAATCACCTATCAGGGCGACTTTGCAAAAATTTTCACATGTGAGGGACATGCAGTACTTGTCTCAACATAATGTTTTTCAGTTCCACTCATTTAGCTGCAAATGATGAGCTTTCATTGTTCTTTACAGCTGACTAACAGTGCCCGGGGTACACAGACATCTTGGCTTCCCAGTTTGAGTGGCTGATCTCTGAATCACCTCCACGATGCTCCAACCCTATTACACCTGTGCTTTTCCTACACCCACAATGCTGGTTTCTCTTGGAGGATGGAAACAGAAGTGATGAGGGCCACAGCAGACAGGACCTGGCCAGTGATTTCATTTGCTTGTCTTAGGGGGGCATCGTGATGTGACTTGGGGCCTTGCTGGCCCCTCTCCCTTATGTCTTCCTAGTCTCAAAGCATCTTTTGATGGGCTCTTTGGACGGACTAGATTAAACTACCAGTCTGTCCCTTTTCTTTTAGGGCTGCCAGCTAAGGTGTTTGCTCTAATTTCGACTTGTAAGAGCTGAAACTGGGGTGTGGAGTCTGGGAATAAAAAAGAGACTAAACTTTGCTCAAGACTGCTGAGACTCATCAGAGGAAAGATGGCTGTGGCCGGGCGGTGGTGGCGCACGCCTTTAATCCCAGCACTCGGGAGGCAGAGGCAGGCGGATCTCTGTGAGTTCGAGACCAGCCTGGTCTACAAGAGCTAGTTCCAGGACAGGCTCCAAAACCATAGAGAAACCCTGTCTCGAAAACAAAAACAAAAACAAAAAAAAAAAGATGCCTCTGAACAGCGGCTTACAGGTGTTCTTCAGCAGGCATTAGGATGGAGGGCCCAGCCTGAAAAATACATTACCTGACTCTCCTGTGACGAGAAATTCAAGGATGAAATTCAGGTCCTTTTTTCAAAGGTAATCTGTGTTCCAGTACAGCCTTCCCCAACCCTCCCTTCCTGGTGAAATTCTCATTCTAAGAGTTTTGTGTTTTGAGACAGGTTTGGTGTAGCTCAGGAATTTGGCCCCAGATTTCTCACGTGCCAAGAACGACCTTGTGGAGGTGATTCAGAGGTCTGAGGCAGCTTTCGCTCTTGAGTTCTAAGACTCTCTGACCTCCAAGATTGCAAGCTCTTTGACGGCCTGGACAACGTCTTTATTGTCAGCGTTTCTCCATTTCAGAGCGTTGCTAATGACCAGAGAGATGAAAAACAATGCATCATCTAGTAGTGCCAAGGTGGAGTTGAACTGCCTCTTTTCAACTCCAGTGGCCAAAGATCGCCCTATTTGCCTTCCCTGCCTTGCTTTGCAAGTATTTTACTAAAACAATCTAGCCAGCAGTTTAGCTGCACTCTTACCCACATGCCTGTACTTGGAGGCACTCAGCACATGGTTGAGTTTATTTTGCTCTTCCACGGATAACGAGGGCCAGAGAAGGATGGAAAGGAAATAGGTTCATTCGCCAACATCACTTTTGAGAAATAGAGGACAAGCGGGCGGTGGGGGGTGGGAAGGCGTGAGCGGGGGCGGAAGGGGAGATTCTGAATCCGCAGAAATCTTCCCCAAATAATAGGAAAGCCTTCAGTACAGCCAAGCCCCAAGTGTTTCCTCACTCACAGCCTCTCCCTCTTCTGAGATTAGGCCCAGTTGCCTGGACGGCTTCCTGCCAGGGCTTTACCAACAAGGGCATTTAAAGTGAGAAAGAGGAAGAGAAAGTCAGAGATGGGGGTGAAGGCCAGGGCTGAGCCCGACTGGGTTTTGCTGAGAATTCAAAATGGGTCTCCAGGACCCAGGAAAGGGCGCTCATCTCTAACTCTTCGGTCTCCGCTTCTGCGGTCCTCTGGGGGTCCGCGGAGACTCATCTGTCACCAATCAGCCTCAGAAGCGAAGGGAGAGTTTCTTTCCTAAGTGTCTCAAAAGCACAAACTTTGAGGAAACAGCTGAGAGGGAGGACCGACGTGCCGGGGGCAGCAGCAGGAAGCAGGCCGGGGCAGCACAGGCCGTGGAACGCCGGGCGGGCTGAGGCTACCCTGGGCGGACCCGGGCACGCTCCCTGGAGCAGACACCGCCCGAGGCGGCGGAGCGGCAGGGCCTGCGCAGCGAGCGGCCTGGGCCCTGAGGCTCGCGGCCGCGCCCCGGGGGCGGGCCGGAGGCGGGGCGGCGCGCGGTAGGGGGGTGCCCGTGCGGAGGGCTTCGGTCGGGGGCACCCCGCCTGGGAGGGCCGCGGCGGCCGAGGATCCCCCTCTGGACGCCGCCCGGGAGCCGCGGCCCGGAGTCTGGCGCTCATTGGAGGCGCGGCGCGGCCTCCCCGCCCCCCGGCGTCCCCGCCCCCTCCGCCGCGGCCGGGCTCCGCCTTCTGGCCCGCCGGGAGCCGCCTCCGTCGCCGCCACAGCCTCCTTCGCCGCCGGCCCGGGCCCAGCCAGCGCCCGCCGTGCCGGAGTCGAGTCGCAGCCCGAGCTGCTGCCCGCGGCCCCGCCATGAGCGGAAGCGCCGCCGCCGCGGTCGCGGTCGCTGCCGCCTCAGCTGCCGCTGCCGCCGCCGCGCACTTCCAGCCTCGGCCGTCGTCTCCCAGGCCGGGCCCCGCCGAGCTCGGGCCCCCGCGCCGCCCGCGCCCCCCGCCACCACCGCCGCCGCCCCGGCCCGAGCCTGCCGCCGCCGGCCGCCTTAGCCCTCCGGGCCACGGGCCTCTTCGGACCGGGACGCAGGGTGGCGGCGCCTGCGGCAGAGCGTCCGGAGCAGGTACGGGGTCCGCCGGCGGGGCGGGGCGGGCCGGGGCGGGGAGGGGCGAGGGTCAGCCCGGGGCAGGGGTCCCGCGGAGAGGGAGGAGCCTTTGCCGCCACAGCTTTGTCCAGCCCGGGAGCCCCCGGGAGCCCCGCACCTCTGCGGGGCTGAGCGCCTCACAAAGCGTTTCCGCACCCGCTGGGCAGCCCCCTCCTGCGGGGTGGGCAGGGCAGGACCTCGGGAGGAATCGGTTCGGCCGGGGAGGAAACTGAGGCTTACCGGGGGAAGTGACTTGCCCAAGGTCACAAAAGCCAGCTCGAGTCGTGTCTTGGCTGGGAACCAGGGCCACCCTGGAGCTGGCGCGGGCCGCTGGCTGAGGGGGCTGGGAGGAGGCAGAGTCCCTACCCCCTGAGAACTAGAGTGGTTGGGAGGAGGGGGCTGGGGCCTGTTCCCTGGCACACCCACCCGGGTAGCTAACCCATTTGGGGCTGATCAGGAGGGGTGGGAAGGAGAAACGGGAGCAGCCTTGGGAGCTTGGTGCCCTGGGAAGCTGATTTGGGGAGCCGGAGGGAGAAAGACTCCTGCCGGGGTGGGGGTCTCTGTGCTCCGAGAGGGTTTTATTGAGGTAGTGGAGGAGAGCTTTGGAAACTTATCTCAGGGACCGTTTGGTCTCCAGGTCACCCATCTCAGCACTGCACAGGCTAAGCTAGCCCAGCGGGAATGGGGAAGGAGGCCTGCTCAGAAGGTGTCTTTTCCAGGAAACTGCCCCGAACAGAAATACATACCTGGCCCTGGTAAAAGCATGCACGCCACAGAAGGCCACGCGAGGGTTTTTTT